CTGCTGAAGCTGCTGAAGCTGCTGCTGCTGCTGCTGCTACTAAGCCGTGCATCCAGCAGGAACCCTTGACCGAAGACAAAGACCCTAAGGAGTGAATCCAGCAGGACATTTTTGTCCCAAGGCGAAAACCCTAAAAAGTGAATTCCCAAGGCGAAAACCTCAAGGAGTGAATCCAGCAGGAACCTTTTCGCCAAGACGACAGCCCTAAGGAGGGAGTCCAGCAGGAACCCTTGACCGAAACATTTACTACACCATAAACAGTTAGTGGCCTGGTGCTAAAGACGCCAAAAAAAATTACAACTAAGATGCCTGTTTTGCAACTTTCTGCAGAGATTTGCTGTTTTCGGGCCCAAAAACGTTACAGCTAAGTTATTTTGCAGAAGATGAAAAGTTACATCTAAGAGAAAAAAGTTACAACTAAGTGTTCTACCCTGCTACCACCCCGACGACGACAGCAATCGTCATGTTTCTATCGAAGCTGCCGACGACAACTACTTACCACCCGATGTCGCAAATACCGCATCCTTGCAACCCACGTCTAATACAGGGCCCAAAAATCAATTGGAGTAGATTTCGGGGTGTATTTTGGTGTAATTACAGGAAGGAGACATAAGGGATACTACTACTACTACTACTACTACTACTACTACTAGTACTACTACTACTACTACTACTACTACTACTACTACTACTTTGTAGTCTGATTATTCAGGCTTCTATGGCACATGGGTTCGCAGTGATAGGAGCACTGGTGTAGGCTCATCGTTCTTGGTGGTTGGCTGCTCTGAATTTTGGAGCCGTGCTCAATCCGTTGTGACCAGACTTTACCACATAACGTGGTTGAAGGTCACGCCTTAATTCGACAGTTGGCCGGCAGATTGTGCGAAACTCTCTGGTGAGCTTCTCAATCGATGGTTGATCCGAATGTCTCGAAATCTCAACCAAGCAGGCACACACTCTTTCGAGAACCTCCGGTTCGGGAAACTCCCAATGCCTCCATTGTACATCGCATGCCGCGAGGTTTGCGGAACGGCTGCAGGAGGCTCACGCGTGACAGAAGAAGTGAGCCCACTCTTGCTAGCAATCACCATCTGTAGGGAACCCTAAATTATCAACCCTAAATTATCAACCCTGAACTATACACCCTAAATTTATAAACCCTAAATGTAGGGGTTGGACTGCTGACCAAGGCCATCTCGTTGAAAAGTCCCTCCTTAGTGGGACTATACTGCACCCCCAGAACCCTCTCGAACCATTGAGGCCACCCCAAATTACCTGAGCAGATCCCGACGACGTTACAGATCGACCTGACAAATGGCAGCCTGCTACGGACTACTCGAACCTCAGGCCGCACAGGCCCTTGGTTCACAGGCGGACTCAAGGCCATACATGGACATAGTGGGACTAAGCCCGCGACTAAGCCCGAGCGCCACACCCCCGG